CATGATATACCCAGGCAATAATTATGTGTGAGAAATCTCACACAGCATTCTTGACTTGTAAGATTCAAGTGTAAAAATCCAACAGATTCTGCAGAATCAAAGGGTAAAGTTTATTATAAGCTCTTTCATGGTCTGATGTTAAAATGTCTTTGTATTTTTTTGAGTAAAATGTTTGGTAAATTAATTTGTGCAAAAATAAATATTTCTTCAAACAGCAAATCATTAAAAACTGAAAATAAAAGATTTATTCAATAGTCTGGGCTTTTTTGTAGTGCCTATGTACAAACGATTAGTACAATGCATTTCATAGTTTTTTGTTTATATGCTAACTCAAAGATTTGTTAAGTATACTTTTGGATTTTAGGCAAATGCTAAATTTTACATTAAATTTTTTTCTCATATTATATTCCATCTTCTTATGCCTGGTAGTCAGCCCTTATACTAGGAAAATTCAAATAAAAATTAAATCACCTCTGGACATAGTAATATAAAAAGGCACTCACTATTTTATGTGTACTTTTAAACCCAGAGAAAATAAAAATAAATTCCTTTTTTCAGAGTTAGAGTTTTTAAAATATAATCAGATAGATGCTAGTAAATACTTAACTTGAACTTAGCTTTCTCAAAACTTTGATAGAGTGAAATCCTTATTTGTTCACTCTCTGAAGTTCGACCTCTGTGTCTTTTTTAAGCCTCTCTTGGCATCTCATTTTCACGCTCCATCTGAGATGACTTAGAAAACACCAGAAAATAACAACAACACTTCCACAAAACAACTGCTTGGACAGTGCATATTTCTGCATCCATCATTTATAGCAGGCTCTTTCTGGAAAGAATTTTATGTGTCAGTACTAAAAGATGATATTATAGGAGTTGGCTGCTTCAGTCAGCAAAGAGAGTCAGCACTTAGTTTTTTTTTTTTATTTTTTTCTTTAATAATTGTACAAAGAAACATTTCTTAAAGTTATTTTTAAGTTGTTATGAAGAGAAATGATTTTATGCTCTGGAATTGTTATTTTTTATGTGCTGCTAGAAGTCTGTGGTGAAATCATATCATGCGATTTCATAGTTAACACAACTCAAAGATGAGGCAAGTCAAGTGAATCCACTTTCTCTAGCCTTCCCTCATTCTCTATGCAAATGACAGTCAGAGAGAACATCACAAAGTTGGGTAAGCCTGAATTCCTTTGCCGAAATATTGGAGAATGTGGTTTCATCTATAGAGATCAATGCATAGAATCATTCATGTTTAAATTTTCAAAAATATTTGTATATATTTTGGAGAGATCGTTGGGGCTTAAGTATCTTGTTTAGCATGCTGGGCATAAAACAAGGACTAATCCCTGTCCACTGATAGCTGTGACCCAGGAAATAAGGAAGGAAGGAAGGAAGGAAGGAAGGAAGGAAGGAAGGAAGGAAGGAAGGAAGGAAGGAAGGAAGGAAGGAAGGAAGGGAAGAAAGCATATGTATATGTAACATTGCTTATAAATGATAAATGATTTAAATGAATGCAATGTAAATATTACAAATAATTTTAAATAACGTTAAATAATAACACTGTTGCACTGTCCTATTGTTCATCGATTTGCTCGAGTGGGCACCAGTAATGTCTCTATTGTGAGACTTGTTACTGTTTTTGGAATATCGAATATGCCATGGGGAGCTTGCCATGCTCTGCCATGCGGGCAGGATACTCTCGGTAGCTGGCTGGCTCTCCAAGAGGGACGGAGGAATTGAACCTGGGTTGGCCATGTGCAAGGCAAACACCCTACTCGCTGAAGTGTTCTATTGCTCCAACCCAATGTTAAATAATACTGAAAATTATTATGGTATTCTTTTATTAAAATAAGGCCTTAATTTTATATAATATACATGCATAAGCTTTTAGAAATTGGTACATATAATTAAAATTTATATATGAATATATTTATGTATACGTCCTTTTAGTTATATATAGAAACATGAATGTCTTCGTCTTCATACTTATATTATTATACATCATGTAAAATCATGAAATAATTTTGGGTAAAATTATATTTTCATTTTATTACATAATATCTTCTGTTCCAGTAATTTTCATGTCCGCCTGCCCTCCCCCCCCCCCCCCCCCCGGCCTCCCGGAAAGCCACTGTGCGCCCAGGTTGGACTTTTGTATCTGCATCTCAATTTGGATTCAGTGTTCCTGACTTAGGGCTGGAGTGATAGCATAGCGGGAAAGGCATTTGCCTTGCATGCAGCCAACATGGCCGACCCGAGTTCGATTCCTCCACCCCTCTTGGAGAGCCCAGCAAGCTACCAAGAGTATCTCGCCCGCACAGAAAAGCCTGGCACACTCTCAGGCTATCTGTGACGTATTCAATATGCCAAACACAGTAACAACGAGTCTCACGATGGAGACGTTACTGGGCCTGCTCGAGCAAATCAATGAACAACAGGAGGATTATGATCGTGAATAATTTTCATGTTCTATAAATTTAATAAGATAATACTTAACTAAGTAAACATCATTCAGTATTACATTTGTTACTAGAAAAACAGCCGTACCTGAGCCTAGATACTAATGTGTCTGATTCAATTAGCACTGAATATCTACTTTTAAATATTGCCAGTCTTCAAAGAGGATATTCCAAATCTCCTTTATTGTATTATCATGCAATGAACTGCTATACAATTCTAATCCTCTCAAAAGCTTTATGTTAATCAATTTCAATTTCAGTTCAAAATTTAATGTGTTCTCATATATTCGTTCTGCAGTTTTCATCTGTAAAACCCAGGTTCAAATGAGGAGAAAAGATAGACAGCTATGGCAGCAACTAAATTTTATTTTAATCTTCCATAGAGCAGAAAAAATCATTTGCTTTGTTAAAATTTCTATGTCACCTGAATATAAAAATTATTGGTTTTGCTAAATGAAAATAAATTTGGAAGACCAGAGAAATAATACAAAAGTTAAGGTATTTGACTCACATGCTTTAATTCCCAGTACCCCATATGGTCCCAAGTATGTGAGGAGTGAGTTCTGATCACAGAGATAAAAGTACCTCTTACTGTACCACTGAGTGTGGCCCCCTGCACCCTCATTTTTTTAAATGAGACATTAATTTATTATTGAAAATGTACAAAAGTCCTTAGCAAGCTAGGAGTAAATAAACCTTTCTTATTTATTTATTTATTTATTTATTTATTTATTTTTTATTAGTGAAGCACCATGGGGTACAGTTGTAGATTTACAAATCTTTGTGCTTGGGTTTCGGTCATACAATGATCAAATACCCATCCCTCCACCAGTGCCCATTTTCCACCACCATGGATAATATCCCTCCCACCCCCATACCCCCATCCCCCCTGTCTCTGTGGTAGGGCATTCCCTTTTGTTCTCTCTCTCCTTTTGGGTGTTGTGGTCTGCAAAAGAGGCATTGAGTGGCAAACATGTTCAGTCCATGTGAGATTAATACCCAAGAATAGCTGAGATCAACACCAGGAGGATTACTCCATAGCTTAGAGGCCAGCCGGTTATTCTAGGGGAAAGGGCAGCTCAGATAGAGAAGGGAACACCAAATAAAGGGTGTTTGGAGCACCCTCATTTTTTAAACAAAGAACTATATTGAATCACATTCTGAGGATCCTAGAATTTTATCTTTATTTCCAAAATAGCATCACTGCTTATTATTTGCCATCAGCAAGTGGATCAAATATATGATCTTGTTTATTTTGCTTTGAGACTTGCTTGTTTTGTAAAGTTACATGAAATTAAAAGACTAATCGATACTGTATTGCGTATATTTAACAGGACAGTTTTAATTTGGAATCTGAAATTTGAAATTTCAAAAATTATTTTTCTATTGCTTAATTTTATTAAAATACATTTAACAGTGTATGTTATTATGTCATTTTGCCAAATGTGAACCAAAATATCAAGTTGAAGAGTAAATTTAGCTGCAGTTGTGCTTATATTTTCATTTTTAAATCAAATTAATACACAGGCTGTGTATTTGAAAGTGGGATTTTATGGAATGTTAAATAGTTTCAAAGCCTTTCTTATGTGTTGAAGAAGAAAAATTTATTCTTAGCAAATTTGGTAAGAGAATTGAGCCTGTCTGAATAAACCAAGAAGCTATGAGGAATAATTACAGTCAAAAATCTAAATTATCTTTTATTTTGTTCTATTCTTATGCTATATGTGTGTGTCTTTTCCTATGGTAAAGAATTATAGATGTGTTTATCTAAATAAAAGGAATATCAAATAATTCAATATTTTAATTTTTAAATATATAAAAATTGCATAAATCATTTTGTGTGAATTTTATAGGCTAATCAGTGACTCTACCAATAATTTGGTGGAAGAATATTGAATAACTTATTGAATTAATGACGTATTAAATTATATGAGTCTATTAAAATCAGATTTTTTGCCATACATCACTGAAATTATCTTGTGTTCGCTAATCATTTCTTTCCTTTCAAGTGAAAACGCTGTTTACTGAGTTTCTGTTTACTGAGTTTGTCAAGCAAGTGGTTTTGTTTTCAGGCAATAACTTAATTTTATTACAAAAATAACTTAAAATGAAGCAGTGAGTAAACAAAAATTGTACATTTTATTTATAATAAAACATTCCACAATTCAAAATAATTATCTACATGTATTCTAGTTATTCTAATTATGGATTTTGGTGTATTTGAAAGCTTCCAATCTCTTTATTGTAGGAGAAAATAAAATTGACTGAAAAATATATGATTTATGCATGTGATGTCAAATAAATTTAAAGTCAGATGGCAGAACTCTGTGGTATATGAGAATCATCTAGCGGTTCACTAGATATTAATCTATTTTTTGTTTATTTCTTATTTTTGATATAAAAAAAGAAGAATAAGGGCTTCCATTTTTCTGTTAAAGATGTATACTGCAAGTTTGTTTTAAAACACAGGGCAATCATTTTAATGCTCTCTCTCTCTCTCTCTTCCTTTCCCTCTTCTTCTCTTTGATTTCTCACTCCCCAAAGCTCCATTCTGACTTAGACAAGGGAGAAGGCACTGTCAAGTACACCCTCTCAGGAGATGGCGCTGGCACAGTTTTCACCATTGATGAGACCACAGGGGACATTCATGCAATAAGGAGCCTGGACCGAGAAGAAAAGCCTTTTTATACTCTTCGTGCTCAGGCAGTGGACATAGAGACCAGAAAGCCCCTGGAGCCTGAATCAGAATTCATCATCAAAGTGCAGGATATTAATGATAATGAGCCAAAGTTTCTGGATGGACCTTATGTTGCTAGTGTTCCAGAAATGTCTCCTGTGGGTGAGTAGGAAAACCTAAATTCCACCATATGCTTCAAAGCCTTTTGCAACACTTCTTCTTCTTCTCTTTTTTTTTACAGCTTAACAAGAACACTTTATGTCTTTATGTGTAGCCTCAAAGAGGATTCATACATAATTTGTACATGTATCATACAAGAGACAATTCTTTTAACTTGCATTGTGAGCTGGAGGTAATGTTCATTACCACCAAATACTATGCAGTTATTATGACAAGGTAATAATAAAGTACAGTTCCCCAAACGTGGGATGCAGAATTTAAGCATCACATAGTAGATGCAGCTCACTTGAACCTGAAGAAAGAAAGACATTTGGAAAACCAGGGTAGGGAGGTGCTAATGAGAAAAAGTGTTTTCAATATTTAAGGTATTGTAATGAAACATGAGTTATCAGAAAGATCTATAAAAATGTTGGTTCTTTCAAATGTTTTACCATGTGCCATTATTGAAGTCTCTCACTGGTTATTTAGTTGATGTTAGGGAACAGTGCTTTTCCTCAGGGTGCCCAGGATGCAGACCAGGTTGGGTCAGGTGCTTGGACATTGGGCAAAGGATAACAGGCGTGAGAAGAAACATCCAGTGGAAGTACCAATGGCTGTTCACTGTATTGGAAAATAAACACATATTTCATAGAGGGTCTCAGCTTACAGGAAGGTCCAATCACATAAAGTTCAGCATTATTGGTTTATTACCTTTACTCCCCTGCTTTGCCTGGGTTCAGTCCCATTCAAGGCTTGATGCTGAGGTTAGGATGACCTGCCTTTAAGCGTACGTGATAGTTTGTGTCTTTGACATTTATGGCTAGGAGGTTGACTGAGGCTCAAGGCCGGACAGCCAGTGCTGACATCCTCTTCTTGGCAAATTTGCCCAGTTCCTCCCTCTTGCTAGGCCACCCTTCAGGGCTTTACAAGGTTGGGTCTTATCTGCTCCAGTGCCTGTCGCCTTGCTCCACAAGTTGACTCCACTAATTAATTAAAATGGTTCTCAGCAAATACAGAGAACTCAACTATATAATCTAGGACTACATTTAAATAACATACGTTTTACACATTAAGAAGCTCCAGTAATTACTAATTATATAAGTAGTTAACAAGCATTATATTTTTATTCCCAGTAATCCTGCATATGTGTATATATATAACATATAGCATATCTATATATATTCAATTCTGCTCGTTTCCTTAAATATATATAGACATAAATTATAAAACACAAGGGTTATATCTGTGGCACTCATTGTTTTTGCTTTACACAACCAATGTAAAACTAGCTAAAACTACTGTGCATTCATCACGATCATGACCATGATCATCCTGTTGTTCATGGATTGCCTCGAGTAGGCACCAGTAACATCTCCTTTGTCCTAGTCCTGAGATTTTAAAAAGTGCCATATTCAAGGCTCTTTCAGGGTTAGGAGAATGAGACCCATCATTGTTACTGGTATTTGGCATATTGGGTACACCACGAGGAGTTTGCCAGACTCTGCCATGTGGGCAGGTTACATTCGGTACCCTGCCAGTTTATCCAAAGTAAGAACGAAATAATAAGATGTCGCAAGGCCACGAATGTGGCTGTGCGTGTCCAGAAGCTGGGTTTTATAGTCTCTGGGTCTTGGCCATTGATGGGATTACCTGGCACTGGGGGCAGTTGATGGGTGTGACCCCTGCCTAGTGGAAGATGGAGGATCTGGGTGGAGGATGCTCAGCCCTGATCCAAGCAGGCTTGGAGATCTCAGCCCCGGGACCCACATGCCTGTGTTCCTCTGCTGGTTCCTTCATGCGTGTGGAGAGTGCTCTCAGAATGGTTGTGGCTGGTTCTGGAAGTCTTCGGCTGCTGGGGTTCTGCTCAGGGAGTGGAGGGAAACTCAACCCACCCCCCTTCAAGGGGTCCCGGATAGGACAGCCAGGCGCGGGGGCAGGAGACTCTACGCTGTTCTCTTCTGGGAGCTGGGTTTTATATCTCTGCATCGTGGCCGTTGATGGGATTACCTGGTGCAGGAGGCAGTTGGTGGGTGTGACCCCTGCCTACTGGAAGATGGAGGATCTGAGTGGAGGATGCTCAGCCCTGATTCAAGCAGGATTGGAGATCTTGGTCCCAGGACCCACATGCATTCGTATCTCATATTTATCCCTTAATCTTTTTTTTATATCCTATCTGGGGATTTTATGCATATATATATATATATATATATATATATATACATACACGGGCTGGAGCGATAGCACAGCGGTAGGGCGTTCGCCTTACAAGCGGCCAACATGGCCGACCCGAGTTCGATTCCTCCGCCCCTCTCGGAGAGCCCGGCAAGCTACCGAGAGTATTGGATATGCCAGACACAGTAACAACAAAGTCTCCAATGGAGACGTTACTGGGCCCGCTCGAGCAAATCGACGATCAATGGGAGGGCCTTTACCTTTTACCTTTACACATATTTTTACTTGGAATATCAAAATTGTGCTTTTCCTATAACACACAAACTCACCTTTGTGTGTCACATAGTATAGCTATTGCAGTAAATCTTGCTGATAGTTTTATACAATTAAATTTGAGATCTGTAGGAAACAGCTCTCTTTTCTTAATAATTGACATTTTTCTATTACATTTTAAGTAAAATAGAATAATGAGGAAGATTAAAAATACATGTAGTGGAAGTGTTTATCTTATAAAAGTTGAGAAACATCAGGGCATTGAAACTAAGACTATTATCTAAAGTCAATTGAGGAATAGTAAATTGAATACATATGAAAATATGATAGATGAATTTGAATTAAAATGTACTGACAAAAAGTACAAATTTTCATGCCTTTAGAAATGAACATAGAAGTGAGTAAAATTGGTAGATTTTTGAGAAAAATACAGATTTTTGAAAGTACAGATTTTAATATAAAGAACTAGTTTCTGAAAGTTGAATAAAATTTTAGCCAATTTTGAATTGTTTAAGCAAAAGGTCACTTTGTTACTAACTTGTGCTATTTCCAATATGCTATGAAAGTAATATTCGATGATAAAGTGCTTTTACTCTGACCTAAAGAAATTGCCCAATGATCCAGATATGCCCCTAATCATAGTTACTCTTCAGAGACAAATCTGGACATTATGAATGTGGTCTTAATTTTCTGAAATCACCAGAGTAACAAAGAGTTACGGTTATATATTCTCTTAAATATCTGATGATTATGCATTAGTTGGATATTCGATTTAAGTTACTTTCTCACAGTGTTGAGGAGTTTAACACCTTTAAATCCACATGCAGTCTTCTGCTAAATGCCTCTATCTATGGCAAATATTTGTGGAAGCTTATTGTACTTCCATAACCAGATCTATATGACACGGTAGGAGTATCACTCAAGAGACATGCTATAGGCAGGAAGACAGATGAATTCAATTTTTATCATTTGCTGAGAAGATCATTGAGTTATAATTACTGTTAGTATCTTGAAATAATATTTCTCATGGAAGAAAACAAACCAATGACATATTCTTAGTCTTTCTCTTTTGTTATTATTATTATTATTATTATTATTATTATTATTATTATTATTCCCATTGCTGCTGTAGTACCAGGAATTTCACACATGGTTGGAGTGTATTAGAGGTTGCAGTTGTTTTGGTGACAAGGATCATACTCGCAGTCATGGGCAACACTCTTGACAATGTGAGCTGGTGCTGGGGATGAAGTTTAAGGCCCCTTGCACACAAGACAGGCAAACCACCTGAGCCACTTCCCAGGGTCCTTATCTAAGATCATAAAGTATGGCTTTGTAGTCACTTCCAGGTCTTAATTTTTTTATATGCTTTCCTGTTTGCCACATCTTTGATCTTTCCTTTGAAGCCATGCATAGATTTCAGTATAATTTCGATTCTGGAATGGTCACATGCTTACCTATCTATCTGTCTGGCTGTCTGGCTGTCTATCTATGTATTATCTACTTACCTATCCACCCACGTACCTTTATACTTTTATCATACTAAACAATCTCTGTCTTCACAGTTCAGAGTTTCCTCTGCCCCTCACTCTGCTTATGGTCTGTTACCTTCTTTATTGTTTTTTTTTTCAGTCTCTCATTAAATCATCCACCTCATACATTGAGCAGCTCAAAAACCTTCTTCTCACACCATACCAGGCTCCTTGACTGAATTCTTCTAGGTCAGAAAAGAGGAAGGGGCTGTCTTAAATTCCTAAAGAATGTTAGGGAGTTCCTAGAAATAATTGACTCGGGATATCAATTTATTAGGCTAATTCCATATTTTGTTCTATAGGTTGAAGATGAACTAAAAATATTGGCAATGTCAAACCCACCCACCCAGATTCTGGTTTTGAAAATATCTTTTTTATGCTGTGAGGTAGTACTGTGGCACTGTCCTCCCGTTGTTCATCGATTTGCTCTAGCGGGCACCAGTAACGACTCACAACAAATTGTGAGACTTGTTACTGTTTTTGGCATATCGAATATGTCATGGGGAGCTTGCCAGGCTCTGCCATGTGGGCGAGATACTCTCGGTAGCTTACCGGTCTCTCTGAGAGGGGCAAAGGAATCAAACCCGGGTTGGCCATGTCGGCCACATGCAAGGCAAATGCCCTACCCACTGTGCTATTACTCCAGCCCATGCTGTGAGCTATATTTTTTATTTTAATAGTTGTTTTTTAAAGAAATGACTTCTAGAGAGAAAGACAGCAACCTCCTTTGGTAATGTGTTCTAGTCTAGTGAGTTGATCTAGTGAGTTTCCTGCCATTTCCTAATTGTGTGTATTTGTTTCCTTACTCAAAATTGAGAACTAAAAATACATTATTCTCATAGTTCTTACAAATAGAAAGGGAGTAAATGTACTATACTATATACTCCAATGCCTGGAAAAAACACACATTCAATAAATAGGGATGAATCTTGGTAATAATTTGATGATCATTCTTATGAAACTAGGAGACTATGAAACATATGAAAGTCCCAGTTAATGATCTCATTCTGTTTTTATATATTCCTT